TTTGTTTTTTGCTGTTTGTTCGTTTAACTGACATTCGTCCAGTGTTATTTTTCCCTCCCACCGCCGTACACCACGTTTCGGCTTCTTTTTTTTGTTTGGAGTCACTGACTGACCGAGAAGCCATTGTACAATTTTAATTGGCGTTTCAGTTATTGAAATGTTGCACCCAGATCGATTTATACATGCCCTATACATTGGGGTATTATGCCAAACTGGTAAGGATCTTTTAAGAAAAGAAAACTGAAATTACATTGACATGAAATTATATTTTTGTAAGCATATTATATAAAGTATCAATTTATTTATAACTATTCAAATATTTGTTTAAATTCTTTGAATATAAGGATTTTTATTTTTCTTATATTCTTTGAACTTTTTACTAGTTTAAAAAAATACTTGCAGTTTGGAATGATCTTCCCTAGGCACACCAGACCTTATAAAATTATGATAAAATTTCGTCATACTAAAATCCAAGGGTAACCGAACTTCACCTATAAAGAAAAGTATATGACACTGTTTCCAGGATATTAACAGTCAATAATGTCAGGTTTTTGTCGAACATATGCGGCAGCGATTTTTCATTGTCGAGACGACAATAAAACGAGTTTTTCTCTCTCAGTTGATCTTTATATTTTAATTTTTCCTGCATTTCACTTTTAATATGCTTAAATGCTGCCGAAGAAAAAACAATAACTTTATGAAGTGTCACTTTTGACGGTGCGAATAATGATTGATTTTCCGCTTGAGTAGAGATTCTGGAGTCTGATCTAAAACAGGTTTCCAGACTAATTGAAATGCAACGAACTGCTCGTTTGAATTAAACTCAGGTGCGTACTGTTTTTGTTTATCGTTTCAAATTTCGGTGTTAATAATAACATAAGCAGTCGAAGGCAACAGTCTTGTTTTGCCTCAGCGATTGTTTCCTAATAACAAACACGACACACCCTAACTCTCTGTCCCTGCAAGAGCTCTCGCACTTTCTCCCGAAATCTGACAGCTCACGTTGGCGCCTCGCAAGGATTAAGTCATGCTGCTGTCATGCATAAATTCAGCAAGTTGTGCAACTGCAAAGGACCCGAGATGGGTGAGAAATGGTTCTGAATATAATGCAGTATAATACAGATTATACAATTATAAGCCTCATACATAACAATGTTGTGTGAAGAAAGGATTTTTTTTGTATGAGAGGGTGCACATGATTTATTTGTTATTATATGAAAGTTAACAATTTTAATATTAAATCGGTGTAAACAAATTCAATTAAGGAACCATTTCCCTGTACCACCCATGTTAAACACACTCACAAAGTCCGTCATCTGATAAACATTAGCTTAAACTTTGTTCCGTCTCCACATCATTATTAGCATAATAACAAAGCTGTTAGGTCGACACCAAATCACCAACAAATAAGCCAAATATCTTTCTAATTACTTACAAACAAGTCCCAAGCCAAAACCAAAACCAAACCCAAAGCAAACCCGAGCTCAAGTTACATTGGCAGCAGCAACACCAAAGACATTTGCTAATCTCTCAACAAAACCCCATATCTTTTCTCAGCTCGTTATACCACATTTTGCGACAATGTGATAAACGTTTTAGGCAAATATTACAATAATAATTTTCAACCAGTTTCACAGGGCATGTGGCCAAGGAATTTTAAGCCGCATTAAACCAGATTTCCCCCCCACTTCTTTTGTTGGGATTTTCACTTTTCATTTACAAATTCTTGGTGTTTACACTTTAGCTGCATCTCATAAATTATGAATTCTCTGAATGTGAACGGTGTCCATATTGATATAAACAATTGATATAGTATGTGCAGCAAATTCTAAAAACAGCCAGCGAATGTGTAAATGTTGCCTTTTTGTATTTGGTTCTGATTTATTTGTTACATATTAAAATTTTTAGATTTATGGGTCAGCATTCTATTTTGGACTTGTGCTGATGTTGCAAAAACTTTCTCTTAAAGTGGGCACTGAAATAGCGATGCAATATATTTTGAAAGTTCCCAAATTTTAAATCAATTTAGTCGTATTTCGCATATTTTCCAGTTATATATTCTTATTTATTTAAGTTATTTTTCAACTTTGACAACGGAAACCTCATTGAATTCTATTACTATTAGCATAAATTTTAAAACAATATTTACGCCAATAAAATATAATTTTAATTTCCTTCTTAAGCATTTGCATACCAAAATAAATACGAAATGTGAATTATTTAAATATGCTTCGTGAAAATTGAATGTTTATGATAGAAGGCCATCCAAATTTATGCTTATTTATATTGAATTGCTTATTTAGTCTTTAATATGGGAAGCTCATGTTTTCTATTTAATTTTGATTGCAGCTTCATTATTCAAATTGCCTTTCTTTGATTTGCATTCCAAAAATTCACAAAGCATCAGGCCATACCACAGACATTTTGCGACAATTTTAAATTTTTAATACATATTTAATTTTCAACATTCATTCTGGGAAAAAATATTTACAAAGGGCAAATTGAAATAACTGTCAGGCATTCCGTGTCAAATTAAAATAATAATAAAATCGCAAAAAATGAACGAAAACTAACAATGTGAAATTGAATAAAAGTGACCGAAGAAAGGAGCAGAAAAAAACCAAATTAACCACGAATTACAAATCAATTTAAATGCGCCAAACTTTTTTTCAGAAGCCAAACAATGGAACTTCTGGTTATTCTATTTCCGCGGAAAAGGCGGAAACTTTTAATTCAATTCCTGTCTCGGGCATGTCAATGAGTTTGCCTTTGTGGGTGGAGCCAACTTTCGGGCCTCTTTTGGCCCCTTGAATGCAACATTTTCGGTCGTCGCGAAGAATGGAAATTTGTTTAGTAAATTAAAAGTACTTAAAGTGCAAGTCAAGATCTTAGTCTCATCGTCCTCAACGCCCCCCATTTCAACTCTGGCATTATGTATTCTTTTTTAAAACATGCAGAATCACGTCTATGCATCTTAATAACTTTTCGTGCTCGTGCAAACAATGCGAACGTGAAAGTTGAATAGGTTTGGCTTAGTTATCAGAGGGTTCCCGTCTGCTTTTCCACAGGAGCAGGATTTTCTGGAGGGGTGGCTCGGTCTTTGGTCTCTCAATGCATAAATCAAATGTACATATTGTAGTTGAAGTTAAACTTAATTTAGTTTCCGTGTGGGAGTTCCCAGGAAGTTTTGGAAATCGAGGGTGGGCTTTGAAATCGCAAACAGAAATGAGAAACTTATAAATGGCAAGGGTGCTTTTGATTTTTGTGGCAACCATTTGTTGTTTGTCATTACTTGTATAAGATTAAGAAATCAATGCTTATTATGTAACTGAAAAATACAAGATACAATTTTTTTTATTACAAATAAATAAATTTGTTGAGGTAAAACAAAGGTTATATAATGAGGTACATACATGCAATTCATGCTCAAATATGCTTTTTTGTCGTAATCAAAACCTCTATATAGAGACAAAACAATTAAATATGTGTATATGAAGTTAAAAAAACATGACCAGCTTAAAGTATTTCACAAATGATGTATCTGTATCTGAGTTAAAGGTTCATGAAACCCTTTGACAAGGTCCTTTGATTCCATGCAAAAACACAACAGCCTTGGTGTGGGTCATCCCATTCCAGATGTCAAAGCCATAACCATAACTTTGTTTAGCGAACACATTCATTCCCATTCCCACGCGCACATGAAACAATTGAATCGAAAAGAAACCAATCAGTCAACAGGGGGATTCCCCCACGCAACCCACCGAGTGCAGCACAAAAAAAAGAACCATCCAAAAAACAAAGTAACAACAATACAAAAATTAATTGATGACGTGCACACTCACACACACACACCCACAGATGACGCACCAACACTAATTGGCAGCAGGACGTATACATATAGCCAGGAAGTCGATTTGATAACGGTACAGGATACGGATATGATGGGTGGTATGGAACCCCTGCCGTTTTGGTTATGAAACAGCCGAAACGGGGAGATGTAAGGGGTTTTCAGAGGCGGGTTAGAGGACGGCGTGAACACGGCCAAATCGATGCAGACATAGACGAGCAACAATCAATCAATTAAATGCCTGACTGCAGCTCCAAACAAACCGAGCCACAGCAACCATAACATGACCCACCGGATAATGTTCGGCATGCAAAAGTGAGGCTGCCTTTTAGCCAGCCGGCAACACTATTAAAGATTTATTCATGTTTCTCGACTCGTTTTGGCTCAGGCCTTCTCTGGGATAGTTTGCCAATTTCAATGACAGCCTGCAATTTTTAGAGTTCCCAGGATGACTAATGCAGCAAAGGGAATTTTCATGAAGAGAGATATAGGGGGGTGGAACCAAAGATGAACCTTCCACTTTATATTGGCAAGAATATCAGAAAATCTATGTGTACCACTCTATTTGATGTTACATGTACTACTAAACTTATTTCAAGAGGAGTAAATCACGGTGTAAAAACCAAGCATTTCAGCAAAAGCCACTTAGTAACTTGTCTGAAAAAAATGATCAAAACGTAGGTTGTTGAATTTATTCTATCCAACTACAATAGCTATCTGAACTTTGAAGGGTACCTAATTTTATTATTAGTTTAGCGTACGAAACGATACATAACAAGGATAACTTGTTACAGAAATCTAAATTTTTTTAATGATTTTACATATTTTATTATGACATGTTTGCCATAATTTAAGTGTAAATCTTTTCGTTTAAGATATATTACCCCAATTCTCGCCCCCAATTTGGCTTACCAAATTTCTTAATAGTGTACAATCAGTCGAGTCAAATGTAATTACCTCGAACAGCTAAGCAGAGCTAAAGGAGCCTAAGTAGAATCATAAATATTAATCACCCTCTGATTAAATACTTGTGAAATTTCAAGAAAACGTGAACGGTCGGAAAGTTCCGAAAGTCTAATCTAATCAAGTGTGATAAGAAACAAAATTAAAAGAGACATTCGAAAAAGAAATAATTTATTATGAAATAGTATCGAGTGATGTTCGTAGCTCATCTATATTAACAGTCGCGCACTAGGCGAAGATCTTGGCCAGCAAGAGACCCAAAATACCAGCAGTAATGGTCAAGGTGCTGCTGCTCATTTTTCCAGCTGGATTCTTGTTGCACTTATCCCCCGAACAGATGTTGCAGCTGGACCTATTATAATGGGAATAAGCCGGCTTTAGGCTCAAACTACAGGCCCCAACATTGGGATGAATGCAGCCATGCAGCTGATGGGTAGTATCGTTGTCTGGGGAATGGGGAGATATATTATGAATCTTTCTGGCTGACATTTGGCATTCAAACTACTCACTCCAAGTGTACTTAAGAGCCAGGCAGTCAAATCGAGTGCTGGTTAGGTTCTGCACTCCCTGATGATAAACTGCCAAGTAATAACTAGTCTCATTGGCAGCCGCATTGGAGCAGGTTACTTTCTTCGGACTCTTGCAATCCTTGGGCGTTACGCAGGTGTAACACACCAGAGAATCAGCTATTCAATAGAACAGATCGTCAGCTTAACCCCATTAATATTTATTCCTATGCTTACGACTTACCCAATTGTACACAGACAAAGGCCACTAAAATGCCGGCAATTATAGCTTTGGTATACATATTGGGTTCTATATTTTTCACGGAGTAATTCTACTTTCTTAGTCGCCTTTTCGCTTTAAACTAAACTCGGTAGAAATTTTGAGAACACTTTTATAATCGTTTCTCTTCAGATTTCGCACTTTGCGCTGTTCTTGTCAGATAAGCTTGAGTATTTTCGTTGATTACCTTATCGCAACGTTTACAGCCTAGTAAGCTTATCAAAAAAGCTTCAATGGAGAAACAAAAGGGTTTCCCCTTCAGGTATTCATTCAATATGTAAAGGCAGTAACGAAAATGTAGTTTACATATACCGAATGGTAATATAAATATGCCTATATAGAGTGTATCCTAGTTACGTGTATCCAATATGTTTTAGAAGACACAAAGTCTTTGTTACACAAAAAAGATACTTGTATTTCCAAATAGTTTTTTTAGTTTTTAAATAACTTGTCAGTATATATACTATTTTAAAAATATTTGTTTTATTCTACACAACTTGAAAACTAGTACCTTCCCTTGCTTAATCTTTATTTGCAGTCGTTGTGTTATCTGGTACTTTTCTTAGACCTAGCCCACAGTTTCAAAACTTACTCATAGCCTGAGAATTTCACACCTGACTGAAGTAGGGTCTGTTCTCATAAGCGAATAAAAAAGCTCTTATCTTAGTCCGCAACTAATCAATATGCTCGCCAATATGGCAATAAAAGATAAAACCGTTGCGTACAAGTGGTAGCCATTAAGAAGGGGAAGTTTTTAGCTTAATAACTCACTAAGTTGTTAAGCGATTTGAAGAGCCATATATTGACTCACATTTTATTTACCACGAATTCATTTACATAGACGAATGGTAAATTTCCAGCGAGAAGTTGCTAGAATTAAGCCATTTCTTTTTTTTTTTGTAAAGTTGTAAAAGCCGTAGCCTTTTATTATCTTACCATAATCTTTATAATCTAATAAATAATTGAAACCAACCCATAAAACGATTTAAAAAACCTTCCGAGATCTGGCTAGTAAAAGTTTAAGTAAATAATGTGGGTTAGGATTGTGAGTCATATAAATATATTGATGATCTAGAAAATAGAAAATAATATAGGAATGTTATTTTGCGAAAGTGCTGACCTTGTTCTAATTTAAGTTTCAATTTAAGAACCTACAAAAAATATAAAACTTATAATAAATATATAATTATAACTTTGGTATCAATCATAAATAATCTTGTCTCTTCCCATTCCATGGTTAAAATCATTTGAAGTTGTAACTTTTTGTAACCTTTTTGTTTTCAAAAAATTCATTTTAAAACAAATTCTTTAAGAACTCTACAAAATGTTTACAAAATGTAGTTCCAGATTTAATAGCCCATAAGTAACCTTATCTCATCCCTAATTAAAGTCACTCGAAAGTTATTTTCTAATAATAATTTATTACGAATTCGAACAGTTTTACACTCTTTGTTTTCGTATATTTTATATAAAACATTGAAAATAAATAATTTACAATTGGAATTAGGTTAAAATACTGCATAGCTCCTCAGTAAGATTATGAGTTTATCTTAGGATCTTGGCCAAAAGTAGGGCAATGACGGAACCCACGATGGTATAGGCACTGCCGCTGAAAGTTCCCGCTGGATTACAGTAATCGGTGCCGCAAGTGAAGCATTTCTTGGACAATCCAGTGGTGTTGCTCAAAGTAAGACTGCAGACGTTTGTTTCATTGAAGACACAGCCCAGGAACTCAGAGGCATGAGTATAGTCTGAAGAAAAGTCGAAGGATATAATTAGATGTTTACTTTAAATACCAAAAAATTAGGGATAAACTTACTTGCATAATAGTATGTGAGATTGGCACAAGAGAAGTTCAGACTGCCATTTACTGCGGGCACATTGGTGTGGTACGACTCCAAAAATTCCTTATTGGCATTAGCCGTCGAATTCGAGCAGGTTTCGGACCAGGGATTTTTACATCCACTTGGAGTTGTACATTTGGAGCAGGTCAGCGAGTTGGCTAATAGTAAAAAGCATTCTTCAGCAAGGATTCGACTTCGAATTTAACAATTTTTCTCACCAAGCTGCACGCCCACAAAGGCCACAAGGACCACACAGAAAATCACTTTCTTCCACATTTTAATCAAAGGATAATTTGTTTTTAAAGTATAAACACAACTATGCACAAAGCTGTCTCTAGAGAAACTGAATCAAGTGCAGCCGATGGCAACTCATTTTGTACTCCAAAACTGAACCATAATAAAATCGGATTTTATGCCGGCTATAAAGATTAGATTCCGTTATCAATATGCTTCAACCCACTTTGAGTCAGGGGACTGTATTGGAATTGTTGACTAAACACCAATACGGGGTTTTCTGTTGATTGGATGCATTTCGAACTAAGTATGTATATGTTCATGTACACACAAATATTTGGGGGATACTTTTTATCAACAAAGTTCCATACCGATAACAAAAATAAAAAAAGAAAGAGAACTAATGACTGCTTTTATAACTTTTTCCACATTCGTTTATAGCGCATGACATAATTATAAGAGTATGGAAAAAGTACTATAAAGAATGCTTTTGTAGACGGCCTTGACTCTAAGATACCCTATACTCAGCTAAGGGGAGTGCGAGGGAGATGCAGATATGGATGCAGCAAAACGGCTGTTTCCGAGATGGAAATGGATTTAAATGGATTTTTCGATTTGAACAGCTTATAGATGTAGAAGGTTATTGATAATAAGAACAAAATCCCGTCTACACTTTCACAATATTTTAAAAAATGTGGTTGCTGGCAGGTTTTAGCGTTATGGGCGCTGCTCAAGAACCTTAAATAGATTTCGAGATCTCAGTTTTTGGACAGACAGACAAGACAAGATCGATTCGGCTATTGATCCTGATCAGAATATGTTTACTATATTGCGTCAAAAGCGCTTCCTTCTATTTGTTACATAATTTCCGAATAACGGGTATAAATTGTAATACCGATGTCTAGCAGTCTGATTGTAATCAGCTAATGATATCAGAGATATATATTGTAGATATGCATCATATAGCATAAATCAAGTGCGAGATAGCTACAAAAAGTTGGGATTACTTTTCCAGATAAGAAAATATTAGTTTTAGAACTGTGTACACATTTATAAAAGAATTTTGTTCCCTACTTTAAGTCACAGTCAAATCAAATCAAGCTTATCCCAAAATATTTTAATATACGACGGAAATTCACAAAAGAATGATAAATAATGAGTTTATTGCAGATTAGATACGGTTTTAATTGCTTATCAAAAATAATCCACCATTTTTTCCAAAAGCTTCAAATAATGATACAATTTTTAAAAAGTTCGATGTGCAAATATTTGCAACAATGAAAGAAACATATATAGTCTGCAGAAGACACGTAGCTCTTGGGTAGCCAAATAAACTCTAGATAAACCCCTGTAAAATGTTTTCATTTTATTTGTTTTTTTGGTTAAGCCAAGGAATAATTCCAACGAAATTAGAAGAGGACTTGCCGTAGGTGGAATTGAAAATCATACATCACAATCGTGGCCATTGCCCAGGACATGCCACGAATAGCTAAGCAGCTGTGGCAACAACAATGCTAAGCCGCTGTCAAGGATGCGTAGGGGAATATTACAAATGACAGGCCAAATGACTGACTGCACTGGGAGAAGCTACAAGAAAGGACGACGAGGGCACTCCAATCTGGTGAGCAAAAAACAGGGAATCGCCTGCGGTCGAGATTTAAAAAGTACGTGTATCCGAGTGTCCAAACAGGTAAACAACAGAATTACAATATGCTTTCTTAAAAATTAAAATGGAAAAAAGTAGCACAGAACCAGCAGCAGCGAGCTTTTTCCGACAGGACAATAAGCAAGGATAAGCATCGAAATGATGATGATGATGATGGCGGCGGAGGATGGTGGATAGAAGTCGGTGGATGGTGGATAGAGGTCGTAGGATGTGGAAGTGGCTAAGAGCTGGCAAGAAAAATACAAGCACAAACATGGATACAGATATGCGACAGGCGACAACGATAGCAAAAGTCGACGAGTCTGACAGATACATTTTAGTCCTGTTGCGGCTCCTGTTTGTCTACTTTTTCCGCTTTTTGTCCCTGCCCTTTTTGTTACCCATCTCGCAGGTCCTGGCCACATTTCCGCATGCACATTGCACTCGTATTCCGGTCACGTATCCTTTTTAATCCTGACAAGAATATTATTTCCATAAAAAACATACACACACTCAAAGGAAGAGCGAGTTGCGGCAGCATCCCGGCAGATCAAGCATACGCCGCGTAGTCCACCTAACTGAGTCATAGACAATTCGCAATGGCCCTAGAGCAGATGTATTTAATCTTTCGAGTATTTTTTATCCATACAACCCCAGTCCCTGATGTTATCGCAAAATATATACTTATTTAAATAAGCAGAGGGGCCAATTCACATCTAGACGAGCAAAAAACTGCCCATATAATCTGTAATTCAAGATTTTAATTAAATTTATAATGAAAACAAACGGGCATTACAAAAAATTCTCATTTAAATCTATATAAATAAATAAGAATAGTGCCACAAGAAAATTTCAATTTTATGAAATGTATATTGAATTTATCAAAAATTTGTACGAATAAAAATTTTAACAAATTTTAGAAAAAAAAAAATACTAACTCAATATCACGGATAGCTTTTTGTGATAACTTAAAATTGTTTAAATAATATTTATAAAAGTAAGCTTTAATAAAAAAGTTTAACAGGAAAATTGTTGTATTTTTTACCCATTAAATAAACTTGTATTGAAAATAAAAAATAAAAATTCCTCATGAGCGAAGAATTGAAAAGACATGTGTACAAAGTTAATTTTAATCGTTTCCGTTTCCTCCTTGATATTTCGTTTATATATAATATAAAAAAAGAAGAACAAGAAGTGCTGTCTAAAAAGTGAATTTCGTCCCCTCATCAATATGCATTCTGCTATCGCAAAAACAAGGATTCAATAGATTTTTTATGCTCTCGACAATATTTGTTGTTCACATAACAAATTACAAAAGCTACAAAATAATTTATAAAAATAGATTGTTGTTGGACCATCTGGACGTACACACACACACCCCCTTTTGGACTGGCTAAGAGAACAACAATGTGGACTACAATGCAAACAAATCGACAAACTATAATAATAAGACAGTCCCCTGGCAAGCCAGCAGATAAAATTAGAGACCGGGAGGGTCTGGAGATATGGGCGGGAATAGGGAACGTAGGACCCGACTCCGACTCATTGCATTGTCTGCAGCAGCTGCAAAAACTTTCAACATCAATGAAAGGAAACAAACAAATTTTACATTTTCTATGTCTCGGCGGCTCCTATGAACAACAAAAAAGGGAAACGAAAAAATAGAAACAAGGGAAGGGGGCGATTCGGAAAGAAAAACAATAACAAAAGCAGCTTAAGTACTGCCACAAGTCGTTAGTCGAGGTCGCCACTTCTCGAAAGGAGCCTGGAGAACTTTAAAGGATGAGCTGAACCATCCTAATTGCACCTCAACGAGTAAAATGTCCATGAATAATTCCAGGATTGTACATTATAAATAATACAATAATACAATTTGAAAATTCTAATAAAGTCTTGTTAATATATATACCTCAATAGTAATAACGAAATTTAATATTTTACTACAACAGAGTAATATAATATTATACTAACACAATTTTGACAATTTAAGGATACTGAAATATACCATTAAATATTATCCTACGGCCATGTGATTTTGAAATTGTTTTAATTATTTTTCGTGACATGGACAGATATAACTATAAGGCCTAACCCAAATTAGTTACCCGCATTTATACTACATTTTATATATATAGTCAAGTGATTTTAAAATTGATGATTACTTTTACATCTGCATAATATAATCTGTAAAATAAAGTACAGATATCGTCTTAATTATTTTTAGTGTAGTCCGTAACATGGATACAGATAAATTTGAGGCCTAACCAATTTTATTTACCACTTCCAATAAAAGTATCCAAAAATAGACGGTATCCCATGTGACTATCATGGCTTCCAAAATTACCCTTTGTGTTAAAAATCGAAGAGCCCCTTGCTGGTTGTTTCCCTTTGTAGATTAAAAACCCCTGAAAGTATGCTGCACAGTGACCCACTAGAGTTCATTTGAAAGTTGAAAATTGAACGCCAAGTTCACCTTGTAACCCATCGCTCGACATAACCGTTCAATTTGCAGTTCATGTCTTGGCTCCGTTCAGTTCAGCTCTGTTTTATTTTTTTTTTTTCAGCTCCTTGCTGTTAACAAGTTCACGTGCAAAATTGCAATGACCCAAAGGACACACTGGCACACCTGCCGGGCGACTTTGCACCCGGTGCTCCCCCTTTAGCACCTGTGGTCCCACTGCTAACTGCTTTGACAACCGTACATGGTGAAAGGTAACCGAAAACGCCAACGGAAAAGCCAGAAGAAGGGTAACAATGTGGAACACTCGCAGCAATTTGCAGCATTTAATCAACAATTAGTGAGGCCAGGAAAATGGAAAATGACTGGGAAAACTGGAAGGAAAAACATTGGAGCAAACGGGCCATTGCAATAGAAGATGAAAAATATCTGGAGGCACTGCCGCTCGAAATTGAAACTTGTGCCACTCTCCCCAATCAATTCACTTTACCTATGCTTACTTTGCTATTTTTTCTTCGTCCTGCGAACTTTTATTTGCCTTTGGGCCAATCATTAGGTAAATTTGATCTTCGTCTCCGTCTGTCTAGTTATTGATATGATGTGGTCACCTAAGCCCTCTCTTTTACTCTCCTTCCAGACTGTGTTAATATTTGGACTTGAGGTTTTTCTGGGTCAATTGCTTCAGTTGGCGATGATAAATGGACCACCAAAGGGGTGCAGCTGCTGCAAGTAAAGTGACATAAATTCCTTGATTGCATCGGTTACGAAATATTAAAAGCATCCATTTTTGGAACCACAATTGAAACTTTACACTGAGGTACTACATTCTTCAAGGTGTTACCATAAAACTAGTAAAACGATTGCAGTGTATTGTATCAGACATTGGTGACGCCAAAAATTATATATATTTTTGATCAGTATAACCATGCTAGTCCTAATAGTTTGTACATCTTTCTGCTCACAGGAATACTTGTTCATATGTTAAAAACGTTACCTGTATAATGGCTAACAGTTAAAAGTTCATAAAACCTTACTTCTAAATACCATATATATTTCAAACTTTAAAACAATTTTAAAATCATGATACATTTTTCAATTACTTGAGCCTTTTTCAAATTATAATCGGTCTTGATGGTTTAACGATCTCAGATGCCACTAACAGAGCTGATCCAATCGCGGACTGCAGGCACCCTCGAGTAAACGCCAGGATAGTTTGGCCTGGCGCATCCGTAGCCCCAGGAGACGACGCCCCACAGAATGCCGTCGGCGGCCAGTGGACCTCCGGAATCGCCTTGACAGGCATCCTTGCCGCCTTCCGGCAATCCTGCGCAGAGCATGCGATCCGTGATGCTCCCAAAGCTGCCATAGGCCTCTGTGCACTGTATCTGACTGACTTTGGGCACGATTACGGCCCGGAGAACTGCTGTGGACTCCTGGGTACTCTGCGTGTTTCCCCAGCCGGAAACCAGTACAGGAGTTCCATCGGCGATGTCAGCATCCTGTGCGGGAAGCCCTATGAAAGACTGGGTCACGTTCTCCGCATTATAGTCCTCCAGCTCGAGAAGGGCGAAGTCGAAGTCGATGGTATAGGCATTGAATTTTGGATGCCGGTGGACCCGCTTGATCCCCACCAGCTGTCCACCCTCAGAAGTGCGCGAAGAGCCAATGCGTACTTTGGAGATCAGAATGGCCGATCCCTCAGTACAGTGGGCGGCTGTGAGGACCCAACCCTGAGCGATCAGAGAGCCACCACAGAAGTGGTAGCTCCGCTGCAGGGATACCTGGTAGGGAATGTCCTTTATACTAGTCACCTGACCGCCCACGATGCGACCATCCAGTCGAGGTCGTCTCACAGTGGCTGCCAAACTCAGATTCACCAGGAGAATCGCCACGAGAAGCAGCTGAAGAACCGTCTGTGCCATGCCTGTAAGTCCGATACTAGATCGCTTGTGCTGTAGTTTCAACCAGAACCGTCTTTATATAGAGTCCACCAATCTATCGAGCAATTATCAATTGCGCTTTCAGGGTTAACTCCTGCGTTCTCGCCTCACCTCGCTCTGTCCACTTGGCCTAGTTCGATGAGCAGGCACTCCATCGACAATAAACTTTTATTGGCTCCAAATAAACTACATATGTTATCTTAAAGGGGGTAATCGCCCAACAACCTTAGTCTAGTGCACTATTTTATAGCTTAACCCAGGTCAGAAACTTGTTGTTCGCCGGCATCTCCAGGATCTTATCCAGCTTCATTCCGGTTTCGGCCGCCACGACATTCAGATCCATGATGTCACGAACGCCCCAGTTAGGGTTCCTCTCCCGGAGGCTTAGATCGAAGTCCAGATTGCTCTGGGGACCGAGGAAGCGGTTTTCTGCATACGGTCCGTAGGTGAACATCTTTCCTCCCCTTTTCAAAAGCTGTCCGGCAGCCCGGAATAGTCCTATGGAGCAGATCCACGGACTGATGTGCATCATGTTGCAATTGAACATGTAGTCATAGCTGTCTGGTGCTTGTGGAATCTCCCATTCCTTGGGATCACGGCTGATGTCCGCATGGAAGGGTGCTCGGATATTCCCAGTTGGACAATCATCTGCATAGGCGACAATCGAATCGAAGTGAACACCTAGGTGCTCGGTCGGCTGGAAGATGATGTTGGGCATCAAGGGCGCCAGGAATCCCACATGTTGTCCTGACCCTGAAGCTATTTCCAGCAATTGCAAATTCGGGGTGCTCCTGTCCACTTGGGTGAGTAGAGCCTGCGCAATCGGTAATGAATTACGGTCGCCCGAGGTATGCGTTACCTTTGCGGCACTGCAACGAGGAAAAATGTGCAGGAGTCGCTTTGTAAGGCTGTGTTTTTTTTGTTTTCAATAGTCTGCCAGTTTTGATAAGAGATTGTTTACCTCATTTTATGGGCTCAAGGATGAACGAAAAAACCTGTTGAAGTGATGGGCAGCACTGTTCAGTACCAGGGATGGGCTATAGTTTCGTTACCGTTAACTGCTTCCAAGGATTTATTAAATAGCAGTGAGTCACGAAATAATTGAAAAAAAAAAGTTTTAAGAATATTTTATTAATAAAAGTTTGTTTTTGTACAGCCTTCATTGAAAATGGTCTAAATTACAAAAAAAAACTAAAAAATTAAACTTTTAAAGGAAACTATTAAGACATGTTTATTTTTTATCTTTAAATATGGTCAAACTTTTAAATAAATTTTAATATTTTCAGTTTTTTATAATTGCTTACGTTTTTAGTTTATTTCCATATATTTATCTGGTTGTTTTAACATTTAATTTATAACTGTCACACTGTCACTGTTTTCAGTTGAGCATCTCTAATACCATTATCGATAGCCAACAGCTGGTGGTCACATTCAACAGCATTATTTTGCTAAACACAAAACGGTCACATCTTTCATTGCAAATAATATTCTATTCGCATTTATTTACTGATAAAGTGCAATTTAAAAAGTAAAAGACTCGAAATGTCCGATAACGATGATGATTTCATGTGCGACGACGATGAGGATTATGGATTGGTAGTTACTATTGGACCTTAGCTGCATTGGACACGTTCTAACAAAGCCGGCTTTATCCTTTTGTTAACATTTTTCTAGGAATATTCTGAGGATAGCAACTCGGAACCAGATGTGGATCTGGAGAATCAGTACTACAACAGCAAGGCCTTGAAGGAGGAGGAGCCCAAGGCGGCGCTGGCCAGTTTCCAAAAGGTTCTCGACCTGGAAAATGGTGAAAAGGGAGAGTGGGGATTCAAGGCGCTGAAGCAAATGATCAAGATCAACTTTAGACTGGTGAGGGAGTTCTCAATCGCTTTATATATGTGTCTGACTAATGTTATATTCCTCCAGTGCAACTACGATGAGATGATGGTGCGCTATAAGCAACTGCTCACCTACATCAAGAGCGCCGTGACCAGGAATCATTCGGAAAAGAGCATCAATTCGATCCTGGACTATATATCCACATCAAAGAATGTGAGCATCCAAAACTATTGTACCCTTAAAGGGACTGCATTGTAATTGCCCCAATTTTAGAGATATAATTGCTTGGCTGTACCTTGTACCTTGTACTTTAAACTAATCTTCCCTATTTGTTCTTCATTCTAGATGGCCCTGCTCCAGAACTTCTACGAGACCACCCTGGATGCCCTACGGGATGCCAAAAACGATCGCCTGTGGTTCAAGACTAACACGAAGCTGGGCAAACTCTACTTCGACCGCAGCGACTTCACCAAGCTGCAGAAGATACTCAAGCAGTTGCATCAAAGCTGCCAGACTGATGATGGCGAGGACGACCTGAAGAAGGGCACACAGCTCCTGGAAATCTATGCCCTTGAGATTCAAATGTACACGGTGCAAAAGAACAACAAGAAGCTGAAGGCCCTCTACGAACAGTCGCTCCACATCAAGTCGGCCATTCCACATCCACTGATCATGGGAGTCATCCGCGAGTGTGGCGGTAAAATGCATCTGCGAGAGGGCGAGTTCGAAAAGGCACACACGGACTTCTTTGAGGCGTTCAAGAACTACGATGAGAGCGGATCCCCCCGAAGAACCACGTGCTTAAAGTACTTGGTGTTGGCTAATATGTAGGTTAAGCACTAGTCCCCTAGAGACCCTCGCTTTATTAACAACCTCATATTTTTAGGCTGATGAAATCGGGAATAAATCCCTTTGACTCGCAGGAAGCCAAACCGTACAAGAACGATCCAGAAATCCTGGCCATGACGAATTTGGTCAACTCCTATCAGAACAACGACATTAATGAGTTTGAGACCATTTTGCGGCAGCATCGCAGCAACATCATGGCCGATCAGTTTATCCGGGAACACATTGAAGACTTGTTGCGGAACATTCGCACCCAGGTGCTTATAAAACTAATCAGGCCGTATAAAAACATTGCTATACCCTTCATAGCCAATGCGCTGAACATTGAGCCAGCCGAAGTGGAAAGCCTGCTGGTGTCCTGTATTCTAGATGAGTAATATTTTATATTTCACAATATGATGAGTATTTGACTAATGTTAATTGCATCACCAGCACAATCAAGGGTCGGATCGATCAGGTTAACCAGGTGCTCCAGCTAGATAAGGTCAACAGCAGCGCCTCTCGATACAATGCCCTGGAAAAATGGTCCAACCAAATCCAATCACTGCAGTTTGCCGTGGTCCAGAAAATGGCCTAAGTACAGCTTGTTCTATACCATGGTTTTGAGACCGATTAAAAATGATAGAATTTAAACAGTTAGAGGGGAGTCCTTGGGAGTAGTTTTCAGGGGTGCCGTTTCCTCCTGCTTTTTGTTGCGACAGTTGTACATCGAGATCCGTAACCGGTAAATTCCAAAAGCCACAAAAGAAAAGCAACAGATTAAAGCCAAACTGGCACAAACAAATCCAATCGCCAGGCCAGGACGGGCCCAATCCAGTGCGTAGTAGATAAACCGATTCCCGTCGCTGTAAAAGTAATTTTAAATGTAAAGCTGAATTTTAATCTAAAGATTTGCTTACATGTCAGTACCGCCGGCCCAATAGTAAATCAAGGAATGTACCAAGAAAATAAGCACAACGGAAAAGGGATAGATAAAGTGCATGAGGCGGTTAGGATAAGCCACCATAAAACAGTCGAGCACCATGCAGATCGAGTTGAAGGCATGGCACCACAAGTTGTAGAGCTCACCGGCCACTTCGGGCATGGCTAAAACAGATAAACAGGTTATTTAACAGTTTATATAGAATTCAGTGCTCAACTTACTAGAGGAAAGCGCTGCCCAAAAGACCGTGGTAATCAACATTGATAGAACAGAAGTGGTATAGTGAGATATCCAGTAAATCTTTAGCCATCGATCGCCAGGAGCTAAAATGTTGTATATTGTAGAATTATTTTTTTTATTGATTTAACTCACCGAAATAAGATTGATTAAAGTAGTAAATAGTGGCGATTACAGCGCCGTATGTGCAGGTAAACAGGCACAGGGTAAATCCCCAATCCGTGAGGAATATGAACCACCGACCGCCATTAAAATCCTGCATCATGCTGCCAATAACTCCAGCGGCAAAGAAGGCAGCCAGAGCCCATCGATAGAGCAGCCAGATTAAATTGCGGTCCCCTTTCTGCCATTGTGACCGACAGAAGACTCCAGGTTCCTCATAACGCAGCGAGAACTTGGAGCGTTGGAACTCCTCCTTTAAGAGCAGACAACACCCCTCTTTGTTCTCATCACCCATGCCTAGTATTTCCATGGACTTAAGCAAGCTATTGCTTTGGCGGTAAACGAAAGACTAAAGGAGGCACAGGTGTTCCATTGGCTTGATAGGGGGCCAAAGTTTTGGCTAGAATAAAGGTAATCGTGTCATACACGCCGTTTGAATTATCATTATCCTTATCATCCCAGTGATTACCTATTATGTCTGATTCGGCAGCAGTCCATGCCCCCGATAAGACCCCCAACGTGGAAAAGTTCGGTCAGAGCGGTCGACTGAATCGAACTTGGAGACTAGAAACATACCTTTAATTTTTATCTGGCGCTGTATTAGCTGCTTTTGGAATTCGTAAACTCATTTTCAGGAAAGTCCACTTTTGCAGGTGGGGCATAATAACTACTCTAGTGTCGGATGATTTTGCAAAGTAATAAAAAATTTTGCTTATGGTAAGTATAATTAGAAATTCGCGATCAGAGTCCATGATAAGCTAGATCTCTCGACATTCTTATTACCCAGCTGCGAGTCATGAAAAGGGCTATCAGCAGCAGTTATTAAGATAAAGTTTAATACTCACACTTAAATTGCCACTATCGTCTACCGAATCGTTTCAAGATTCGAATATTTCCCAAAAGTAAAATGAGTAAAGGGGTAATGGCGCTTGTAGGGGATGATAATCTTACGTATATAAAATTACAAAAATATGGATGTTATCAAGAAAAATATTGCTTGCTAATATACAACCAATAAAAGTTGTAGATTGATTTTTTGGTGTAGACTGATTTATTAACACAGCTATTACCAATAATGCTTAGTGGACGATAGTTCACGTAGTGCCGAAGCGCACCACGAGAGTGTGGGAAGGCGGCTTCTGTATAAAGCCGCAGAATTAAAAAGCTTCAGTGATGGTTCGATCATAACGAGTTATACACCAATCGAAAGGTATCGTAAAAACTAAAAGGAGTGCATACCAATCTATAGAAAATCAATTGGTTCGGGAGAAAGAGCGGAAAAAGTGTAAAAGTGAAATTTTTGAGCAAGTGGGGATTAATGCCTTACTTTAACCTAGTTGTATGGCACGCTTCATCAAAATCGTACACCTAATTGCCTAAACAGACATATTGTATTGAGGCATAAAGAAAGAGAGAAATTTAGAAAGTGTGTTTATTTAAAAGATCGTATAATACATTTTCGTCAATAAAGTTGATATCAGAACTTTTATATGTTGAAGGTGCGATCGTAGCTATTTTTTACCTCCTTAAGATTTGTTATTGCTTGATTTTACTGTTCGTAGGTTTCGTTAAATAGTAAATTAGTAATTTATTTTTAAGATGAAGAAAATAAGTGATATTCTACTCTGTTTATTAAATCTTTAACAATTAATACGTTGATTCTTAAACAAAGCTATATTTGATCAAGCTTTGCTTAGTATAATATTTAAAATCCTGTCTACAAATTCAATATGAATTGCAGAAAAAGAATTTCATATATGTACATATATATAGTTCCTTTATATACAGCAAAAATACCATTTTTTGCTGAAAATAAAAGCTTGTCCTGTGATCTTTGGTTTCATGATGCACACAAAAAATCGATTCATGCCTAAAAACCGCCACCAAATTTTTCGGAGTCGCCCAAGGAATGGCAGAATTTCAATCAAACAACTTGAGCTGGTTCTTTGGGAGGAATGGCAGTGGCTGGAATTTCCTCAGGTTTTTTACTACAGCTTTCGTATATCGAGATACGTAACCTGTAGAGTCCGAAGACCAAGACACAAAAGCAGCTCACTAGGACAATACATCCACAAACCGTTCCAATGGCCAGACCAGGTCGCTCCCAGTCCAAGATGAAGTAAATAAAGCGATTTCCCATTCTGTGAAATTGTTATAGATATTAAAGATGGTCATAACGTTTTTAAAGATTTACTTACGGATCTGATCCGCCAGCCCAGAAGTAAATTAATGAAAACAAGCCATAGGTTAGACCAACGGTGTAGGGATAAACAAAGTGCATAATTCTGGTGGGAAAGGCGACCATGAAGACGTCGAAAACCATGCAAATCGAATTAAACGCATGCGCCCATATGTTGTACAAATCGTCCCCCATTTCTGGCATAGCTATAAAAGAAATTCATATTAATACTTATTTTTTGATCAGTTATTAGAACAACTTACTTGGAAAAAGAGCAGCCCAGAAGACCAGGGTGATCATCAAGCCTAGAACTACAGTTGTGAAGTGGGAAATCCAGTAGATCTTCAAGGCCCAACTGCCGGGAGCTAATATTTTTAAATGGGAAAAAATTGATTGATCATATATAATGTACATAATGGTGAAATGATAACACATTTGGGGACGAATACAACTCGCGATTTTTGTTTTTTTTTTCACTTTTGTATATCAAGTAATTTATCTTGAACATATTTATTATATTATGACTTATAATATGACTCATAGCTTATGAAAGTAAGAGTATGTGTATATATATATCCGGAACTCGAGTCTATCAATACTTACCAAAATACTTGGGCTTTATGAAGTAAATAGTGGCTATTATCGCTCCATAGGTACAGGAATAAAAGCACAAGGAAAATCCCCAATCTGTGAGATAAATAAACCAACGACCATCGTTAAAGGTGTCCACCAAGCTGCTGATTACACCGCCGGCAAAGAAAGCAGCCAGGAACCATCGGTAGAGCAGCCAGATGATGTTCCGATCCCCCTTCTGCCATTGCGATCGACAGAAGGCTCCAGGATCATCGTAATGCAGCGAGAACTTGGAGCGCTGGAACTCCTCCTTCAGGGGCAGACAACAGGGCTCCTGGCTCTTATCACGCATATTGGTGGCTGGGTAAACACGTCGTCGGTTTCGCTGGACTAGGATGGCCACAGAAGTCCAGAGCAGGTGACTTCCTTGCCGGTAGATCGCAGACTGACGGAACCATGCGCCAAAGGTGCCAAATATTGTGAATGGAGGGTCATTTTTTCCGCAAATCGTTTCGGCTACAATCGTGGTAATCAGCTGTGATAGGAAATGCTCCAGCTATCTGGATCCTTATCACCTGAACGAGTACCGTTTATGTGTAATTCCACGGCAGCGTACGCCTCCGATAAGCCCAACCACTTGGTCTTGGAAGTGGACAAGTGCGGTCAGAGCAATAGACTAAATTGAACCCCAACACCGACCAGTGTGGGACTTTTCCCACATCATTAATATCCAGATTGGGCGGGATCTCACGGCAATCGATGGCCCTGAATTTTTAAACATTTTTGGGTATTTTCGCATTTGCAATTTGGCTCATAAACACAATGATATACCCGCGTGCCACTCAAGTGCTGATAAGTCAAGTTCCGCCAGACCCATTTCCCCGGGACTCAAACGCGATAAGATCCCGCCGAAAAAATAAATCAAAAGAAAATACCGTTTGATTGAAAGGCCTTTCGATCCTTAATCAAATACACTATCAAATCAAATCTGTCTAAATGTTTATGTTTTTTGGAAGCACGTATAATGCGAAAAGTAAAAATAAAGACAGTAAAACCATTAGGTAAGTATATTTATGTTTTCACTTAGCCAGGCATTAAAAACTATAAAAATAATAAGCCCCTTAGAAGAATGAGAGAACTCTTTTGCAGAGTACACCAGATATTTCAAACTCATTTGGCTAATTTATCGGTTCGGTACATGTGTTCGAAGTTGTGGAAATGTGATTGACGCTGATACCAGTACAATGGTGAAATAGATACATACATATATGCCTATGTGGAACTTAAAGTTAGTGGACTCTAAGCAAATATTTTGCAAAAGCTTTATGAAAAGACCAAACCTTTAAAAAAATCAGAAATCATGACGTACGATTAATGAATCATGAATTCTCTGATAAGTGAAAGAGTACTGTGGAAAATGTAAGTACTGTGATAAATACTTTTACCAAGACAGGGTGTGTAAAAGCCGTTTATAAGCTGCGTTAATTTATTTTCTATTTCCCTTTTTGATTTAATTGTAATGGCTTAAAAATAAATTTTTTTTTCTATATTGCTGATAAAGATTATTCTTAGGTTTAATGGGATTTTCCTAGAAGGATGCAAAGTTTAAATATATATCGAGTGAATTTACAGGATTACTTTATTTGACTAACCGATAAATAAGATTCTTAGTATTAATGCGATTATTTTTAAACATATGTTCTCTCTATAGTCTGCACTAATGAATTAAATTATAACCTTCATGATAAAATAAAAAGATGCACTATCTTATTTTATTTAAGTTTCTTTTTAAAAAATACTTCTTATATCTAAGATACACATATCAAAGAGACCTTTTCCGATCACTTTATACCTAAAGCTTTGGAACTTGATCCTAAAAAACATTAACCATTAGCCGAATAAAAATAAACACATTTCCTTAGGTAAATTGTTTATTAGAATTGGGGTGATTTCATCAAAAAGTTATGAAACTACAATTGGTGGACCTTGAAATAAAAATCCCAACTTGTTTGTAAACAGAAAACACGCCTACTATTGATCAGCAAAAAAATCGTTCCTTATTGACAGGCTATTCCCACAGAATCGGACCAAAGGTCAATTTAAGAATATGTCGCCTGAAATTGAATTTCAATTACAGAGGAAAATTTAATTTATGCAATAAAGAGGAAGTTTCAATTGAGCCGTTGAACTATCTTTACAGCAAATGCCGACGACACTTCGGTTTTCCATTCCCGGCCAATGGCAAGGTTAGATATATGTAGATATAGGGGTAACGAACCAGTTGCTCTTTTGATTATTTACGTTCGGGGTGTGAATTTGATATAATTGGTAAGCAAAATTCAGCCGGAATGTCCATATGTAATCGATGCTGGGCGTTTATTAAGCACTCATATTGATTCCAAGTTCAGACTCAAAAATGTATCAACTAGAATTTCGAAGAGTAGAATAGCTTCTTGCTTACTCTAACAGGGTTTTAATAATAATAAATATAATTTATCTATTACTCAGCATTCTGCAAACATCAAGATTGATCATGATTAGTTTATATAAAACTGATTAATGTTTCGAGACTGCAATGAAATTCCTTTCTTACGGATGTCTTCAATAATCATTATTTTGATTGATAGAGACTTCATTATAATATTATTTTTATGATTAAAAGCTATTTTTATAAAAAATAAATACTAAATATATTTTAACATCTGGGACCTAGAAATTTTAAAACCTTCTTCAGAATGTAAAAAATGATCTTAACAAATTTAGGGCCATTTTAGCGGTGAATACCTGTACGAAATCTAATAGAAAAAGAGTTTAATTAAATACTAATTAGCTGTTTTCAAGTGTATGATAACTCTCTCTGGATGGATTAGATAAGAGCGAAAACACTTTGCTTATCGCACACATTTCTAGCCTCAATTAATGTAGGTCAGCTGGAATTTCGAGCATCATGTGCTGCACGGCAATTTGAGTTTTGGATCTTTTGGGTGGTACTTGTTAACGGAGATCTTAATTGGCCGACCTCCGTGGCTTCAAGTTCACTGGTGACATATGTGTGTGCGTATTCGGGAATCCAGCTGTCAATAATATCACAGATAAATGGTCGTCTGTAAAACGGTTCCCACCAACAAGAGGGCGGTACTTGATATTTGACACTCTTTTCGGCAGGCGAGTGCTCTACATCATATTAAATTGAATTTAGTGGCCATGTCTCGCCATAATGCATGATACGCCAGTAGTCAATGTGTCCAATTCCCGTTAGGCAACCGATGAGTTTTGTGATCGTATGCCGACTGGAATCGAGCGATCACTAATTCTCGATCGGGTTGCGGAATCGATCCGGCTGTCAGTCCGCCGTTTGGAGAGCTCGAGTGCGCGTGCCAACTGGAGCTGTTCGCAAGTAACCCCACAATCACAATCGCAATCCCATCCCGCCGGACCCCAAAGAGATCGACTTTTCAAGATCACAGTAGTCAGGTTGGGATCCCCGACAACGTGCATCGCTCCTTAGTCGTGTTCAGTCGCCTCAACTTAACTCTCTCTCTGTATCGCTCCACTGCGGTGCTCGTGTGAGTCGTAAACATAATTCAAAAGCACTGGCGAAGTCAGTAGCCGGCTAAACGCGACTCGGGTCGGAAGTCTCCGCTCCTAACAATCACAGCGAAAAGTCCCCACCTCGATAAGGGTGAACATAAAAATAAAAGAAAAAAAATTATAAACAAGTTAAACAAATAAAAAACATATGAAATGCAACTTTTCGACGACTTTTGCAAAAGCTTCAACAAGGAATTGCAAAGGGCGAATTTCGGCTTCGCATACAATCGCGTTCATTTGTTCTACAGATCTCAGGTGAGGGCAGTTCCCCGTAATTATTGTCCAAATACAGCAGTCGTTATCGGTGCTGTAACAGCTCAGGTGGTATCATACGATATCATACGGGTACTTTCAAGTAGCAGTAGCGAAAATAAGTATTTACATTGTAGTCACTATCATTAGTGTTGCTGGAAAGTTGCAACTCTACGCGTGAGATCGTACAGGCACGTGTTTTATAAGTAAGAAAAGCTAGTAGTTCCATAAGCGTTGAGCTCAAAACATTTTAGGCAATAGGTATTTAACTGCCAAAGTTATTGTTCTCTACAGACAACGACGCACTGCTCAGCTATCAACAATCTAACTAGATAAGTGTAATAAGCCATAATGTTGATAAGAAAAAAACAGTAAGTGTATTTTAACAAGTGAACTATTAAAATTCCTTTAATAAGAATATAAAAAGAAACACTAAGGCTAAATATAAACTGAGTTCCCCAGGGCATCTTATCCATTAGGAGTACAATAAAAAAGGGAAATGTGGCTTATATACCAAAAGTTCATTAGAATGTGCTTAACTAAAAAGCGAGTTCACAAAGAACATAAAATGTCATGGTGAGAACACATTGTACACGCAAGCATTGTTAATTAATTCGAATTTAATTAGCACAACTAAACTAAAAGCTGGGCCCCATTCAAAGTTGTACAAACTAAACAAATATCACACATGTGGGCATGAACGATAGAAACATAAAGAACTGTAACCCACATAGATATGGAACTATGTTATTAACTAACTCCACATGAATGAAAGCTATCCAAGCCCAACCCATTTAAATTGAAAAGATCCTACTTTACCAGACATTGCAATGGTATACTGAAGAGTTCTTAATATCTAATGGCTAAAAGTTTTTTGTACTACGCAATGTAGATACCACTTTTGATAAGATGGACTTAGTTTTTCGCTTTTCATTGTGATTACAGAAAAGCAAACAAAATAAAAATTGGCAATACACCAACATAGTGAGTCATTCTAATATCAGCCAAAGCGAATCGCCCCTAAAAAAGGAATCCCTTCGGCGCTCCAAAGTTCTGAGAACCCTGGAATAGAACTCTTCCATAAACCTATTACACATTTCACACGAATGAAATACTAATCAAAGCAAAGCAGGAACCAGAAAACAGTTTTGGCGCATGCCATAAATTTTCCAGCGACACCTTATCATATGGCAAACATGCCCATAAACATCCACGGAGGACCGCGTAATCTAGGGAATCAAATGATTTTATTTCCGCAGTATTTAAGTTCAAAACAAATAAATTTGAATATTATAACACAAGCAAAACTAAAGTCTTTGATACGAAGGCAAAATCATTTAGACATGCCCTAATTCTGAGTACGTCATTGGAAGTGATAAGCCTTGAATTGTGATATGAGTTGTCATTAGCATTTAGTATTTGTTTTCGTTAATTTGTGCGGGCAAAGGTGTGGAAGTTTTTAATTGAAATTACATAATATAAAATGCATTATATAAACTTTAACAGATCGTCATGTAAATGTCAGACAAGTGACTGCGATAAGGATTTATGACAAGTTCGCTGTTAAGCGTAATATAATCCACAATGTATGCAAATTAGTGCATGTATAATATATGCCAAGTGCACAATTTAAATTAATTTTATTATTTTAATAAGCTTAACTTTTTCAATTTCCTATTGTAGTGGCAAAAAGATGAGATCAACACAATATACTTGCTCTATCGATGGATTTGGGCGCTGTTTTTCCTGGGCGTGTACATCATGTGCATATTTATTCAGTTTTGCGATGGAAAGTTCTTTATCTACATGACCAACTGGGGATTCGGGCTGTGCACGCTTACCATGCTGATTTCCGCCGTACAGGTCACCTGCTGGCACTTCGATCTGAGGAATACCCGGAGTCTGGTACAGGAGTCCGCCCACAAGGCGGAGACGTCGAGGGGTCTGAAAATATACTGGTGGCTTTACAACATGACACTTTCGCTGGCTCTGATCATATCAACAGTCTACTGGGTGTTTCTCCACGGAAAGATGAGTGAGTATTGGAACAACCCTGATCATTATTTATTTTAACTTTTACTGGAACTGGTAAAACTACTTTTCTGTTGTTGTACTTACTTATTTTACATTATGAATTAAAGAAATAAATTAAGGGAAATATTTCGAATCTTACTGAACCTATGTCATGAAAAATATAAATAATTGCTTAACTAATTCTTTTTTAATCATCAACATTTTAAAATTCCTTTCTTTTACAGATAAGCCCATGCGATTTCCAGCAATTAGCATAATTACCCATGGTCTTAACTCTGCGATGATGATGATCGATTTCCTGATTGTGGCATTTCCGCTCAGGATCCTGCACATGATTTACGGTATAAGTCTGGCGATATTTTTCTTCGTTTTCACTCTAATTTACCATTTATGCGGGGGTACCGATGAGTGAGTATTGGACAATACCCGTATACTTTATATACTTATAACTAATCACCTGCATAATTCTCCTGCAGATTTGGCAATCCCTACATATATCCCATTCTGGATTGGAACAATCCCAAGCGCTGTTTGGTGACCTTTGTGGGCATCTTCTTGCTTATAACGTGCTATTGGATGCTGCTCTTTGGACTCTACAAGTTAAAGAGGATGTTCAATAGGGCCTTCAGTGTGGTTTGGACTCCTCATGCAGTGGGTCTGATATGAGGGATACAATACACATTAGAGACACCACAGACAGTCATGTAATATCACCTCATTAACACCCGCACATTTAGCACGTTCCATATGCATCGCCTGCATTGTGTTTAGTTTCATTTACAATTCATCTTAAATCACAAAACCGACACCAAGAGGGAGTCGCATTGTTAGACACCCATTCGCATGCATTTATTTATATCTAGTATTTGCTATTGTAAGTTTTAATCTTCTGGTTCCTTAACTTTGAATTGGTTTAGTTAGTTTATTTAATAAGCATTGATGTTGTTACTACATTTATGGATTTAATATTAAAAACATGAAATATGTTAAAAATACTCTACTTAATGATATCATATTTACGAGATACATAGAGAGAGAAAAATGAAATTGTATGAAAACATAACGAAAATCGGAAGAAAAAAGTGTATATAAGAAGGTTATGTAGTTTATTATTATATTGCGAGGGAAATATATAAATTATAAAAATAAATTTTATTATAGTCTTTTATATCTTTATTATCTTCAAATCACTGAAAGTTTGTATACACCAGAGCCTAAATTTAACTCAATTATAATTAAACATTATGACCCTTAAATCTAATTGCTGCAAATTTATTGCATCCACTTTTATGCGAGTCTTAAGCTATAATCGTTTTATAACTGAACAACCAGATTTTTTATTTTATTCCCAAAGTATTATCTTAAATCTTACCTTTTCACTTATTAACAATCTATATTTAAATCTTTGCTGAAAAGTGGAACAGGTTCAATGACAAAGGAATTGGGTAATTAGAATACTTACTTTTTCGCTTACTTTCCTAACCCAATTCCAAGACTTTTGTTCTTCTTCAATGAAAAGGTGACCAAGCATTTTCCATGTATCATTGCAATTAGACTACAAATCCAGTTTTTACAGAAAAGTACGTGTAAATTTCTTACCTTTAATTACGAAACTTTGTTGAATCATTTAGACATTATCAAACGCAAAGTTCTCTTCTCTTTCTTACCAAACTGTACCCGCAGGTAAAATCTTCTACTTTTGTTTAGCTACCAACATTTGCCAAATATAAAAAAACACACAAACGCACAAAATAAGGTAAGCGAGTAATTAAGCTCAAAGTGGATAAAAGAGGAGGGCAGAAAACAGAGCCAAAAAGCATCCATCGTGTTTTATGGCTGCTTTATCGTCTTGTCAATACTCAAATACTGAGAAAAAATATGTTAAAATTCGGACGAACTTTTGATATTATGAAATAGATTTTATATCAATAGAATTGTTACATTGTAATATTTTTTATGTGTTAGGTTTATTGCTAATGACAATTTGATCTAAATAATGATATAAAATACATGTTATTAATAATAATAAAAAAATATAAATTAAAAAATTTAATTAATTTCTGCTAATCATCAGTCTAATGCATATACAGGGACGCGAAGTCGTGTAAATTTAATGTGGATGTACATAGGAAACTTACCCACATTTCAGTACAATATATTAAAAACATTTGATAAACTAAACAAAATTTAAACCAAAATTAAAATATTCCGAAAGAATTTATTAAGAAATACTGATAACAAAAAGATTTCTTAAAGTCGGTCACTAAGTTGATTCATTAAAAAAACCCTTTTAGTAAAGCTTATCACATTTAAAAAAACCCGCCCAATTTAGTTTCATTTACTATATAACTCATTCACACATTTGATAAGAAAATAAAATTCCTTAGAGTTTGAAAAGTTCAAAGACCTGAAACTTTTGTTAATGACATACTTCCAAATAAAATGATTCTCGTTATAGGTATTTTTTCCTGTGTAGAGCCACTCTCTTTCTCGCTCTCTTCTCAGTCGCAAAACACATGTGCAAACACACCTGGCTACGTCGACGTCGACGTCGCAGCAGCCGCGTCTGCGCTTACGATATTACGATATACGATATACGATCCAAAACGCGGCGACTTCAGCCAACTAAAAAAGCAAGCCTCGATCAGTTTTGATTCCTTCTTCGCAGCGAGAAGTCGTGATTTTCGATCCGTTCTCCGTGACTTTTATTTCCATGGTGCGTTACTTAGTAGTATTATTTAGTTTTTGCTGCTGTTTCTCTGGCTGTTCTGGTGCATCGGTGCGTGAATGTGAGGTGATCGGTTGGTGTAATACTCAAATGGACTGCAAATGCAGCACAAAACAAACAAACAAACAAACTCGAAATGGCTAGATACCGTTATGCAAAGTTGTTGTTGCTGTGGTGACCCAAATAGAAATTACCAACCGGGCCAAAAAATAAAAGACAATTCAGACAGCCAGACGCCGTTTATAATCCACAATGTACATGGCGAAAAAATTAAGCAGAATAAATTCGCTATTTAATAAATTACCATGGAAAAACTTTAAGTCTAGCTTAAAAAACAAAACTAAATAATTTCAGTGCAGTTTCTTCAAAAAAAAAAAAATTGTTTTCCTAGTTTTTTTTAAATGACTTAGCAAATCTTAGCAAACAGATGAACTAACAAAGTGTGCAAAACAAATAAATTCCAAGAATTATCCAATACCACCTTAGTTTACACTCTGTGAGAAAAGAAGCTTTTGATTTGCTAGAAATATTGTTTTTGAATAAAAACTTAATTTTATTCAACTTAAGAAAACAAATTTATTTGTGGCTTTCAGAACTGACTAAGCACATCTGAGCGAATTGGTGAAAAAATAAAGTTTGCCAAATACATAAATTCTAAGAATTATCCAATCCCATCTTGGTTTACACTGTGTAAAAATAGGAAGCATATGACAACCCAAAAATGTTATTCTGGCACCAAGAACTTAATCTTATTAAATTGAATAATACTAATTTTTTTACATACATATGTCATTTTGAACTGACTAAGAAAATCTCCGCAATTTGATGAACAAACAAAGTTTGCCAAATTCATAAATTCTAAGAATTATCCAATCTCATCTTGGTTTACACTCTGTGAATCAAAAAGTATATGATTTTCCAGAAATATTATTCTTGCACAAAGAACTTAATCTTATTCAATTTAAGAAAACAAATTTATTTATGATACTTAGAAATTTCGTACGACTTTTAACTGGTTCAAGAGCGGAAACATTTCTTTTTCTTGTTTCCGAGAGGTTTCATTTGAAAGTAAAATACAATCTTTACGGGGGTTTCTTTTGTTTCAAGGTTTTGCTCAAGGTTTACAGTTTGTATTTCATTTGATTTGGGTCTTCGTGTAAGCTTGTGTTCTTTAATGTTCTGATATATTATGGTAGAGCTTCTACTTTCGTGGCATTACTTTCGCATACATATTGGCTCATTGGATTTTACGTTACGCTTGAAATTTTAGGCACGTCCCCGAAAAATGTTAATGAAAAAGCGAGCTAGGTGAACGATTATAAGTTTCCTATTCGCCAAACAACTACAATTTGAAGGAGCGGCAAAATAAATTCGGACAAAACCGTATTCACAATCTAAATCGATTGCAATTAGTTGAAGGTGAGTTTAACTAGTTAAATCTGCAAATGCGGTTTAAACACACATCGAATCTTGAATGTTAGCTAATTGACCGGTATGAATAAGCAAACTAGTTGGTTGGCATTTCTGTGGGTTACTTTGGTTAGTTTACGATAAGTAGAAATTCACCCCAAACAAGATTTGTTTATATTTATCTTCTCACATTTATTAAAAATTCATTAACACTTTCAAATTTTACACTTCCGCTTGATGATCGAATGAGATAATTAAATTTTTACACTTTCTGTATAATAACTGACCTCGTTCCAATCGATAATGGCAATTATTGCACACCGGCTTTATGTCATAATAGAAAATGGCCATTGAGAATACCGGCATTCATTTACCGATCACAATTTGCAGATAGGAATTATAGTTAGATTAAGTAAGAATCGAACACCTGTCTCTTGAACCAAGAATTCTTATCATTGTAACTGTATTCCGCAGACATTTCTGCACACTAAAAAAAGTAAACAATTTAATATTATTAGCAATCTGCTTATAATCAACCAACCGCAGACTAATTATATAGAAGGCTCATATCGCCAATCAGGTTTCATTAATTGGCTTATTAGCCTCTAAAAGTGGTTGATGAAAAACTTAAGAATTTTTATGATGACTTTCCAAACACTTGGACATCCACTTGAAACTCTTATGAAAGTTTTTTGGCCATGCTTTTGACATTAACATAAGAAATGCTTTCAATGGCGTTGAACTCTTTTGATTTCACTTTCTATAGGAGTGATTGAAAAGATAGTGACTGCTGAATAGATGACGTGCCTTATCTATTGGCAAGTGGATCTTGATGAGGGAGTAGATATCATGGGAATCTTAAGTCAGCCATTTGCCATTCACTCAAGCGGTTTGACGGCATTCAAGACGAAAACTTATTTACACAGCTTGTAAAGGTCAACGAGTTTTATTTTAAGGTTCAATGTGGTACAACTTCAAGAGCCATAAACCTATATATCATTTGCCTACAGTGCGTTTCGAAATAAAAGGGCATTTTAACTAGTTCAGTCAACATTTAAGGTTATACTGATTTTGAAAACATTATATGAATTATCATTATTTTTCTCATTTACAACTAATTCAAAATGAAGGCGTGATATAAAATAGGATTCCCTGGATTCTTTATAAAATTAAGAGAAATTCCATTTCATACGAATTCGTCTGGAATTGGATCGCAAATGATTCCAAATGATTCCATTTCCAAAAAATGTTTATTATGATGATCATTTACCTTACAGTTTTGACACGCACAGTAAACATATTTCTGTTGAAGGTAGTTTTTGGTATCTTTTGTTGACGAAAATGTAGCTCAAGCGACAGACGAAAAAGCGTGTAAATAAAATGCACACTAAACAAGACTTCAAACTGTTTTGGCCACCAAGGTGGATGGTTAAGAGTTTTTTAACTGAATTAGCCGCCCTCCTTCTGGGTTGCTTTTTTTATTGTTGAAAAGTTTCATTAGCGAGCTATTCGTGCAAGTTCAGGGACAATGAACATCGCACTCTAAAAATGTTTATAACAGAGAAGTAATTATAACTTAGATGGGTATGGCGCGATGTTTGTGTAAAACCAACGCAGTTGCCGTGAAAATAATGACTGAAACCAATTTTAGGGTCTAGAGTTTCAAACGGAAAGGCTGTTTGCGATTCTGGTCTAGTAAACCAAGCAAATAGAGCTCTAATGATTTCTAAAGTAGAAGTTATATAGTTAGTTTTCCCTAATGTTTGGCCACAGCAAGCCACTCGCATTATTGCATCATTATATATTTTTGTAAGCAAAGTAAAAAAACTAATTACCATTAAGTTGTTCATCATATCTTATCATGAATGCCGAGGTTGCCAAGGTAATCAGAAGAAAAACAAAGATGTTTTATCTAGTCATAACCCATTATGGCAGATTGTTGTAAATTCTTTTGGGAGCTTAAGTACTTTTTGAATTACTCGACTCTTTTTTAGGCGCCCGACCTCAAGCCGAGGTTCTGTTTCTATATTGCCTCAATGCTCAACCTTAGTAGGCTAATTAATAAATTTATTGCATAACATTATTTCAATTTTTGCAATTAACAATCAACCAACGACAGACAATATACAATAGGTTGCTGAGGGTCTCTCTGTCAGTTACCCTAGTGAAGCGAATAATTATTCACTGACGCTCGGCGAAGCGAATGAACTGTATGGTAAATTGATCCATAAATGATGGTACCCCCACCGAGTCACTTCATATAATTATATGAATAGTCATACAATAGTCGCATTATTAGCGCTATTAAGTAGTCTACTAGGCCCAGCTTTCAAGTCTTTACAACTTGTACTTTGCATTTCGCACATTAAACACTAACCTTTTGGGGTCAGAGTTGGGGGGTTGCGCATGCTTAGTGCCAAAAGCCAGTAAAGATTTAACTGCTCGTTACGGTTTTGATGATGTGGAGAAACTAGCCAGACGGAAAGGTTACAAATCCAAGTCATTGGTTCAGGGTTCTTCTTGCAAATCCATATTATAAAGTTTTAGACATCTTGGGAAATTTAATTTTAATTAATGTAAAGTATACACACAGTCCTAGGACCAAAATTTATGATAACAAAATGCTAGACAAGGGCGACTCTTAAAAGAGAAATATTTGCCGAATCGAATAGTGCCAGAAAAACAATATTCTCTAAGGTTCCATGCCGCCAGATTCAGCATCGATCTTGTGATCATTATAGATGGGCTGCAGTAGTTCCCGGGCTGCCTCGTGGTCGGCCTTTCCCAGGGCCTGAGATCTTCCATAGAGCTTAATGTACTTCTTCTCCTTGTCGTGGACCAAGTAACCACCTCCCAGGCCCTGGGTGCACAAGCCCATCGCCTCGGCCTCCTTCTTCAGTTCATCGTAGACGTCAACTGGGGGATGAGGAAGAATATAGTATAGGGTCACCCAGAGATCATGGGAACTCTTCCACTCACGATGGTACTTGGCCTTGGCATGACTACGAATCACCTGCTTGGCACTGCCCATCTCCCCATGAATATAAACGTGGGCCATCATGTATTTGGACTTTCCACTTTCCACCTTGGCAACAGGAAATGCCACTAGACTTCGCATAGGCTTCTCGCAATATTGACGAGCCACTAATTTGGGGGAATCTACCAATCTAAATCTATTTCTTATTCTTCATTCAACTCACCTTGCAGCATTGGACGCCAGACGGGCTTTAGAAATTTTCCAGCAAACTCCATCTTAGATCAGAAAATATATTTTCCTGTTTTTTAAATTAAGTATATTGGAAGGTGACCTATTTGTGAACTGGTTGTCGGTTATACTGAAAATAAGCAGTGAGTAACGTCAAGTCTAGAGCAAGGACGATGAGTTTTTTATCAATGCTTACTAAGGTTCTGGAGAAATACCATGATAACTTCGAATTAAATAAAAATAGACTTACAATAGTATGTCTTAAAATGAACTACCTACATAATTTTCATAATAAATATTTCTCCTAAATATTTATAATTTAATTTTTTTGCTAGTTACAGCCAATCGTGATAAGGAATATACAATTACGCTGAGAATGGCATAGCTAAATACGATTTGGATTGCATAAGAGCCTTGGGATTTTCAATTGCGTGAATCGACTGCTTACGTAAAACCTTCAGTCGAAATAATACAGTCAAGTTCTGATCGTGACAGAAACTATCGAGATGAGTAAGCTCCAAGTGATTGTACATCCCGTGAAAAAGGAGTTCCAGCGCAAGAGCTGCGGATTCGACCATGATACGCCCGATGATTTTGTCAAGTCGCAGGTAAGGATTACTTCACAGGATGGGTGAATTTAAACAGTTCAATGAAACATTGACGACAGTACAAATAGCCGCGTCCTTGGGTCTCCGATAAATACGCCTACATTCGGCACGCACCTGAGCAGGTGTGTTGGGTACTTTGTTTGTTTTTCACTCGGGCGGCGGGTCAATGTACATGGTGGGCATTTTAAAGTGTAGGCTGTTGTAAGCACTAAGGTTGTTGGGTTTGGCTATACAGAATTTTAAGAGATTTCTATAGGTCTTAAAAAAATATTACGCAACATGAAAAATATATTTACCCAATTTATTTGGTTTTCCTGATTGTCTGTTAACCATATTTAGGTTTCACTAAAAAATATCGCTCTTAATAACTCACCCTCAAAAAATGCCAATTTGTCCATAAGCCTTAACCAAATCGAATCTCCTTACCAAGGGTACAAGACATTGGGCGTTTTACCATTTTGTATGGGACTTACCTTGAGCATATTTAATGACTTCTTTTATTCACAGTATCAATAGAAAGAGGGGTCTGTTTGGGTTAAACTATATACATATGCACAAACTGATATATATATGTATATGACAGTACACTTTGACTTGTGTACACCGATTGCTCTTGCATTGTAAATTACTGTATTGAAATATTCATAAGCATCAAGCCGTTACAAACTTTGTGGTAAGCCAGGTAAAAACAATACTTTAAACATGCGACAGGTACAACAAAATCTACTTCTCAGTATTGATGCCCTTTAACCTTTCTGAATAGAAATTTGGAAGAGGCGCACTACTGCCATATGGAAAATAAGATCTAAAATTCACACGAGCACATCTAGAAAAACAATAATTCATTGAATAAATTAATAATAATTAGGTTAAGTGCATAGAAAAACTAGTTATAAATTCATATGAATATTCAGGTTAGTTAAATTCACTACTATTTAAATTTAAATATTTTTGTATCTTGAGTAAAACTATTTTATATTTTTTAATCCATTCTAGTGGCAGTCATGCACAAAGAGTATGGCGTATTTATTTTATCGCTGGTTCATGGCTCTTTTCTTTGTGGTCGTGGTAATTATCTCGATGTGGCCAGAAGAGAATGATGACAGCAGTTACTGGCTATATTTTATCTACATGACCAACTGGGGCATATGGATGTGCATGTTAACGAACGTATTGGGTGCTGTTCTAGTCACCATTTGGCACTATCACCCAGAGTATGCGGGTAAGTTTTACAATAAGATATGCATTTATATATTTATTAATTGTATTTGTACTCCCCAGATAAACTCTTGAATGTTAAGAGTTACTTTAGCTCTTTTCGACTGTATTGGGGAATGCACATCATATCATTGGTCCTATCTATTGTCATCACCATTATCTACTGGAGTCTTCTTTACAATGGTAATTTAAACATCGAACTCAATTCTCTAGTACCAATGACCGATTTTGTTTTCCTCTAGCTAATGAGAATGCCTTGGACGCCACGAATGTACTTACTCATGCATTCAACTCAATTTGCATGTTCATCGATCTGTGGATTGTAGCACATCCCCTGAGGCTGCTGCATATATTTCTGCCAGTATTATTTGGAGTTGCATTTGCCATCTTTTCGTATATCTATCATTTGTGCGGAGGAATTAACAAGTATGTTAATTGAAAATCTCACGAAATATACCAAATGTTTAAATTTAAATTATTTATAGGAAAGGCAAGCCTTATATCTACTATGTGATTGATTGGAGCAAGCCTCAAGATGCCTTTATCACGGTTGTTGGCGTCCTCATTCTATCCTGCTGCATTTATGTCCTGCTTTTTGCATTCTTCAAGTTGCGATTATTCCTTCATCGACGTTGTCGTAACTCCAATTTTGTACTGCCTACTAGTGCAAAATCCCATGGCCAACCTAATGGATTGGATGATAAACCCGGTAATGGAATACAGCACTCGCCCTCGCGCATTTCAATGGTATTGGGCAATTTCGCTGGCTATGAGAATCAGGCCTATTTACCCACCGGCGAGGTCTCAAATAAGAGCTAATATTTCTATATACCTCTTCAACTTAGACTGTAGTTCTTAGTCAAAATAATTTGTAGAAGTTATAACCAGTGATATTATATTTTATTGTTATTATGTTAAGTAAATAAATTCGTTCTGTGCAGGAATGTTGGTGAACAGTTCTTTAAAGACAATACGATGTTTAATAATCTTTTCGAGAATTGCGAGTGTCCTTCAAGTGAGTCATTATTTATAGTTTAAGAAAAACAAGTTTAAGAATTCTGATCAAAAATTCATAAAGCTAAAAGTTGGACGAGGATAGAATAAACGTGTCCAATAGCCTTCGGGTTTTTCGATGCGGTTGACACGCCTTTGGGAACTTTACAGTTGATAATTAAGTATTTATTACTGCCCATAGTGGGATGTCTCGAAGTACATATGCACTTAGAAAAACGATGGCCTCTATATTTTGGGTACGAGATGTGTAAATATTTTACTCAGGCCCCTAATCGCCTTTGAATGGCCACATTAGCCCAAATAGGCCCTGAAGGACAACCAGTTGGAGTTAATAAACCGGCAAGGACAGGTTTAGTTCTGACATCTATTTATAAATGCTAGCGAATGCCAGAAGATTTTCAGAGTGAGTTATATCTAATTATACCAACAAGTTATTTGATTTTTTTATTAAAATAAATTTATTGTGAAGAAGCACTTCAGCTTATAACTATAGTTAGATGTAAAAAAAATAATTTTTCAAGTTCAATATTATAAATCTCACTATTTGTGTTACTTAACTTAAATCTAAACTTTGTTCTTACAAATCAGAGTAAAAAAACTCAGAAAGGAAAACAGTATTTTGAGCATTCTTTAGATCAAAGCGGACATAAAGTGGGTCAGGCTTGAAATGTATAATTTATTTTTATTTAACATATATATTACAAAAATATTTAAATCTTTTTTAAAAGGTTTATGGAAAATGCAATATAACAAAGGTTTGTCAAATTTTATTTGGTCGTAAGTCAAAGAGTAAACAAAGTTTGAAATATTCTTAAAGTCACTGAGATGTTTCACAAGTTTTTATTTTTCCCACTCATACTTGCTAACATTTTTTTATACCTATGAAAAACATTTCGTTTTCAAAAGAAGTATAGGAAAACACGTTAGAAATACAGCTTACAGTTACAGTTTTTTTTACATCCAAACACATTTTTTATTTAATTTCCATATTTGCATATTTAATTCGATTGATGGATATTTTCATAACTTCCCATCCTGTGGCGCAGTTAGCGCCCAACAAAGAGGCTCCTTAGTTAGTGTCCTTAATCACAGATGTTCGATTCGAGTTGCTTAACCCTAAGTTAGGCCGCGCCCGTCTGCCATTGTGTACACACGTTGGCCAAAACGCGTAGCCTTAATTAAGTTTGAAAAAGGGGGATTTAATAACGAAAGGACCCGCCCCAAAGGGCCCCAAGGACGAGCCTGACACTGTTGTGGTCTTTGGTGGTCATTGCGAAGGATTTACTTCACGCATAAGCTCGAAAAGGAAACCCAGGTCCCATTGGACTGCTGGTCAGGTGTGGGTGTCAATGTCAATCGGTTGGTAGTTGGTATTTGGTAGTTGGCTCCGGTCAATTCGGTTCTATATATGCTGTTGTTATCTTTGTTGTGGCCGTCCTTGTGTCGACGGCACATGACATGTCACAAATTCCGAGTTCCAACAAATTAGCCGTCGCATCTGTGGTTGTCCATGGATCGATATGAGACCAATTTGATCGATATGAAGTTTCCTTGAGCTTTGAACTTCTTGAGTGTCCTTGGTCGGCCTATTCAACAATTCAGTGTCAGCCTCAGGAAAAAAGGAAACCCCAGCGAAACCAATTCAATTTTAATTGGACACAATTTTGAAATTATGACAGCTGTCCACACTTTGCGTGTTGTCCTCCCCCAAAAAGTCCGTATCATTGAACTGCAGCTAGAACTAAACTAAATAATTAACGCCAATTAAAAGTGTGAAATATTAATTGAAAGTTCGCCCCCAGCACATCAGACAGTCCAGTGTTCTAATTCCCATCTATTGTACGGAAAATCCCACCCCCCATGTGACCATTCCTGGCCCCCTCTGGATTTATCAATTTGGGGCTCTTGTCACTGTGTGGCGGCATGATTGCGCAATTTCTCCGCCATCAAAGTCATGAAAGCGATTCAGAAAGAACACATACCTTGTGGCAGATTCATGATGGGTGAACACTTTGCCAATGTACCGTAGGACACTAGGCTAGGATTACTTAAAAGATCTTCAGAATAATATAGAAAGGTAATTAAAAATAATTTTAAAGGAAAGTATTTTAAAAGACAAGCAAAGAGATACAATTATGGTTCTAAGCAAAAAAAAAATAATGTGTCGGTTAAAGTATTGTATTATTTATTAAGCTCTTAGTATTTAACATAAATAAAATTGGTCTTTAAAAGTAATTTATTTTTCGTAACATTACCGACAGATCTTATTTTCTTTAAGAAATAAAAAAATCGCCTGCAGTAGAAATCATTTTTAAGGCTAAACTAAACAAGTATGAAATAAACTAAATTTTAATATAAATATAAGTATAAAAACACAACATTCCAATATGATTTTTTAAATATTCCGTTCTTATTTTATTCATAATAACTTAGTTAGGATTATTTTTGAAAATATATAAAATAAAGTAAAAACTACATTGGTTCAAAAAAACATCAAATTTGTTCATGCCTTAGTTGTTTTTATTTCATCATAATATATTCTTTAATATTAGTTTTGAACCCAATATTTTTTTAATACCAGATTTTTACTACTCTGCATTTATTCCACAATTTTGTCATAGTTTTCTAAACCCTGTTACTATTTTTTCAAAGCACACAACCTAATACTTTGCCTCTTGAATTGAACAGCTGCAAGTCAGAGGATTTATTTACACCTATAAAAACAGAGGCCGAACTGACAACAGCAAACAATATAGAGGACAGGACACCAGCACGCCAGTACTGCCAACAAAAACCGGGAAAGCGCTTTAAAAACCGTTCCACATACGCGATAATACACATATATGAACCCATACAGGAAGGATGTATGTGAAACGCACCGCTGGCTCCAGGACACAGGACACTTTGTTTGGAGCGCATAAACAAATGGCGGCCCATGAATGACACGGACATGTGAGGTGGATTTTGGATGGTCTGGGAGTGGAACTGAGTAAGGTGCTCTAGGGTCGTGCGTGAGACTTCCAATGGGGCATAGGAAATCCCGACCGCCATAGAGCTAAACTAAGTCCACCCACGCTCCACTGGAACTGCATTGGTGGTACGAGCCTGCTGGAACTCATAAAGTATTCATTAATTGGAAAAGTGACCAGGGGAACCGGGCCTCGCAGCGCAGAGGTAAAAACCGAGTCAGTTGTCAATTTTGAAACTCAGTTTCGTTTCGGACGTTCGGCGAGGCGTACGTGCTCGGTTTGTTGAACTATTGAACTGTTGAACCGCTGAACCCTCGGAAATCAGTACCATAAATCGGCGGAGTTCGCGGCTAACGCAGGAATCAAAACACCAAAACCGGCAACGTCATGTAGTTCGCTGTTGTGCGTGTTGCCGACAATAAAACGCGAGAACAAGTATCCCAGAGATACCAATAATAAATGTACACATATTTATAATATATACACATTGAGCGAATACCATTCACGGTAGCCATGGACAGACGCAGTAATAGAGTGCTAAACATTTGTGGAATTTTACCATTACAACACTGTTTTGAAAGTTTTTAGAATCTTTTTTTTTAAAGTATTAATCATTTTAAAATAGAGAGAGTGAGTGGGCTCGAGTGTTGGGTGTGCGGTAGGGAAAACACAATTGCGAAAATTCAGCTATACTGGCCACCGAATGGATAATGGGTATTTGTTTAGACACAGGTGAGTAATGCCACATGCAGGAGATTTGTAATCAAAGATTAGTAACGCCTCTCCACGGCCAAAGATAGTAAAAAGAACCCTAATGAGTCGCGCAGGTTGAACACGCCAGGGGGAATACAATACGAAAAACTTTTCATTAGTTTTGCTAACAACAAATCTTCTGCAACGCTTCAAGTTAAAGAATATCTTTTAGCTGATTGGTTACGAATACTTAACATTTTGAGGCATACTTTTGGGATACAGAATGACCCATTGCAATTAACCCATCGAATATACATTTATATTAACGAATACATACCCTAAATAGTTTAGGTACCAACATTTAAGTATTGAAGAAACAAGAAAAAATTATAATTTATTACTAATTTGTTCCCAATTACTTGGATATAAAACGCAAGACACTGTTTTTTAAACCAATCGCTTAAATTGGAGAACACCCTCTTTTTTCAATATCAAAAAGTTTTTAATAACTTGCACAGGGCCTTCTACCAACAATCCTTAATCCCGGTGACATATTCAATTGTCTACAATTCAAAGGGACAGTTTAAATTGAAATTACTGCAATCAGTTGGTTTGAAATTCATAAAAAAACAATTATCCATGACAACACAACTTTGTAATGCATATACGGATATGATTTTACATGTAAAGGACGATATATCGAAATCGAGACCTTGCCCAACGCTATAATTTGTATCGGAACTTGGACTCTTTGGCCTCCATGGCTGCCAGGTCCTTGGACATGTTCGTTGACCACCAAAGCTTATACACATAAATCCTTAAATGCGCGTCACTCACAAAAACAAAAAGAAACACGACAACTGAATAGGGAAAAAGGAAATCCCCGGGTCGAAAAGGGATAGCAATAATAACAAAACATGTCAATTAAATAAAACTGCAGGAAAATCAATAAAATTGTCACAGAACCGAGTGGGTTCTCCGGCTGGAAAAACGTGAAATCGACTGAAAGTGGGTGGATTTATATCTGGGGTTATAGGATCGCTATTGACTACCTATGCCACAGCTGATTTTCCATGAATGAATTCGCGGTGACGCCATACTATGTAATACATATGTACGGTTCCCATACAATTAAATAATTGTTAAACATGTTTTAATAATGGGGTTTGCGATTTGTTTCGATCCCCGGTTCCCTTGCTGCCAATCGAGTGCGTGTGTGTATTCTGTCCCTAATTTCCCACTTCTGGTAAATTACTTCCGGCCTCGAT